TTTTAGAGAGAGAAAGAATCAAAATTTAAGTTTTAGAGAGAGAAAGAGTCTTAAAATTTTAAAGAGAATAACTATATCAAAATTTAGAGTGAGAAAATACCTAAAATTTCTTAGAGAGAGAAACTATCTTAACATTTTTATAAATAAACTATCTCAAATTTAAAGGTTTAGATAGAGAAAGCACCTTAAAATTTTTGAGAGAGAAACTATATCATATTTTAGAGAGCTAAACTATCTTAAATTGTTTAGAGAGAGAAAATATCTCAAATTTTAAGTTTTAGAGAGACAATATTTCAAAATTTTAGAGAGAGAGAAAGTGTATTAAATTTTAGAGATAGAAAGTTCATCAAATTTTTAGAGAGAGAAACTATCTCAAAATTTTTAGAGATAAACTATTTCAAATTTTAAATTTTTGAAAGAGAGTGTATTAAAATTTTAGAGAGAAAGATATTCGAAGCAATCCAAATAAGGAATTTGGATTTCTTTGATTGCTACTGAGGATGAGGATGAGATCCAAATAGTATATACTATATTCCAAAAAATGTCAATTCCAGTAAATCTCAATTTCAATATTGACTTTTATGAGGATTGAAAAATGCAGATCCAAACGGGCCCACAATTTGATCAAACGATGATGGTAAGGTGACCTACATTTGCCTTAAAAACTATAATTAATTTGTCCATTGGAGAACTGAAGGTACACACCACTGGTGTGTATTGTGAACCACGCTTCAGATGTGTATGGTATACCTTACTTATACATGATTCTTGTTTTCTTTTTTCTTATGGAAGGAAGTTCAGCTATGTCGAGCTTGGGAGGACGCATATGGTTCTCACGGTTTCAATAAAAATAAAAAAAATAAAAAAAGAGGACGTGTGTGGTTTCTAACTATTCATGTGCCATGTTTCTCGCAAGATAGATTGCATATGAAGTAAGAGTGGGCCAAAACATCGAAGGAGACGGGCATAAAAGTGTATGCTTCCCCCTCAAATCATATTTAATTTCAATTTCTATGTTTGGTACATACTTGGATCTATATCAAGTGGTTCCTATTCAACCACGCTGGATAATTTTGAACCCCTTAATAGTGACTAAAGAGTTTTTCTTCTTTTCTTTTTTATTTTTTTTTATTTTTATTTTTATTTTTAATACATATGCATTGTGGGAGTGGAGGGTGTAACGTTATGTTGAGGCATACGCCCCCTTAGCCCCAACCCCATTCTCAATAATGATCGGAGTAAGTTTCTACTATGTTTCTAGAAGAGAGGGGGTCCGCTGTTGTAGGAAGAGAGGGGTCACTATAAGGCTGAGGATGTACGGCAAAAAGTAAAGTCACACTTCAAAACTCTAGGACAAATGACAACCTAGAGATGGAAATCTCTACAAAGGCCTGAAAGCTTATTTTCGATTATGATTATGAAATTGAAGCTTCAAATATGGTGTTGATCTTGCAATTTACGTAAACAGTTGAAAATAGATGGTTTTGATAATATATTAAAAGATGGGATTGTCTATAAAAAGACCATTTACCTTTTATACATGAAAATCACAATCACTCTTGTCCCTTAAATTTCAAAATGGGTAGATGTAAAAGTGTCATTCAATAGGCACAAAATTCCAAAAAAAAAAAATCAGATTTAGTAAGTCACCTCAAGCCAGCTAATTTGACATCTAATGAGTAGAAATGATTATGACTCCCATATACAAAATATAAAGGGTGCGACTTGTATAGAGCCAAAGCTTTAAACAATTAAAGTAAAGCCCACTTTCAAATAGTATCAAGAAATATGCTTTCAATACTGGAAATCTTTGTAATAAGCCTTAAAATATATTTTCATCTCTAATTATAAAATTTAAAGCTTCAAAAATACTGTAGATCGAGCAGATCTATGAAAACTTGAAAATCTTGAAAATTGACAATCCAAAAATGTGTTACAAGATGCACTATTTACAATACTTAAAATTCATTTTTTTCTTATGTCCATGCGTCTTGATGTTGAGATGATCAATTTGAAGCTATTTTGACATCAAAACAACCTCTTCTAAATAAATTTTTGATGTGAGTTTTAATTTGATTGTTTAGAGCCTCGGCTCTATATAAACTTTTTTCCAAAGATGAATGTTGTTGATCTGCCGATGATCAATCTAAGAACTTTCCCATGTCAAGTCTATATCTTTGCCGAAGTTTTGAGTAAAGCATCGCCTTATATAAACCTTTGAAAAACAATAGATAGGGCTGGCAACAAGGCGGTCATGAACCAAGTCGCAACCAGGCTGAAGTGGCCCTTGGCCAGGATAGGCCTCAAGCCATAGTAGTGGATAACCGTCTCGTCATTTCTTGTGGCCCAGGCCCTAATTTTTAAAGCTGGCCCGACCGGGCTACCTAAATTATTGTTAGCCTTATAGATAGGTTCACTACATAAAGGTAAAATGGTTTCAAATAGACTAAGAGTTAGTTCTTTTTGAAGGTGTAAGTGGGTTTGAAAATCACAATGTAGTACTTAAACATCTAGAGAAGTGAATTTAGAACAAAATTTTAAGGGGTTCGAGGGAGAGAGAGAGGGCTGAGATAGAGATGATTGCGAAGAAGATTTATTTTTAGAAAATAAATTATTGACTGATTTAGTTAGAAGACTTTTTCTTTCAAAACAAGAGGTAAAAACAAGAAGATTTCCCTCTCGATTTAGGCGCCAATCATAAAAAATTGCCTCATTTTGAAAGAAAGTATATCATCCGTATCGTTATGCGAATTTTATCCCAACTAAGTTGGGCCAACTAATATCAACCATATTCCATGATTACACTCTATCAAGAGCTAACCCTTAATCAAACTACAAGGAACACCTTAGCATGAGCATATAACATTTGAATTAGGATTCATAATAAGAGATGTAAAAAAAGATTTATGTTGATTGCCAACAACATAAATCTTCTCCTTTCTCATCCGAGAGTCAGACTAGCATGAGCATATAACATTGAATTAGGCTTCACAATAAGAGATGTGGAAAAAATTTCATGTTGGTTGCCAACAACATAAATCTTCTCCTTTCTCATCCGAACTTCGGACTGCCCATGAGGAATTTTCGAAAAAAGTATATCTTAGACGTTAATTTCAATTGAACTTAGGTATTGCAAAAACAATTACTTCTGATTTCAACTAGATAGGGATGTGTTAATTAAATCATTCATTGCCTCTCGTCTTCTTTGTGGGTCATTATCGGTCAAGAAACGAAAAACAATTAGAAAAAGTCTACAATGAGACCATTCACTTTTGGTAAAATGTGCTCAAAATTAATCTTAACCATTGAATATGAAATTGGATGGTTGCATTTATTCCATTGACAACCAAGCTATCAGATTTCACATCAAATGATTATAAATAATTGTGGCATCTTTGTATCAAAGGTAAATAGTTATACAATCCCTTGAAAAAAAGAAAACAATTAAAAATAACTTTATACGGATGAGGAAGTGTAATTTTAAAAAGTAAAAAGAGGAAATTAGTAGTACAAGAATTATTGGGAGGGATCTAATTGTGATGATAAAGAATTTATTTTCACTACTCTCTTTTTCTTTCTGTTTTTTTAAGCGGTAACAATAGGAATAGAGCTTAGGACATTATGTTGGAGTCTACGACAATGCTCCTTCGTTGGTAATGTTTTCAGACACTCCATTGGTTTTGCTTAAAGGTGTTTAGTAATTTTGTTTTTTTAAAAAAGAATTGGATCAGGAATCGTCAATTCAAATCGACATTGGTTGTTGCTTAATATGTCTCCCCACCCATTGATTTCGCACTAATTTATTTTTTTTATGAATGGGGGAGGTTTGTATAAAGTGTTAACCTTATACTATTGAAGTAAGGTGCATCTCAAAATTATGACAAAAATATAGTTTCGGTATCACAAAGCGTTGCATTGATATAAAAGTCTATTATTTATGCCAATTATAAATTTTAAAGTTTTCGAAATAGTGACGATCAAGCAGATATGTAAACACTTGAAAATCTTGAAAATAGATTGTCCAATAATGTATTAGAAGATAAACAATTTTTAGGTCTAAAAATCCCTTTTTTTTGTTGTTTATGAATCTTGAGGTCGAGATGGTCAATTTGAGGGTTTTTCGATATAAGAACAACTTTCTCTAGTGGGTTTTCTAGGTGCACCTTAACACGTTATATAAACTTTTTTCTTTATTAATTTATTTTTGAAAAAATATCTCCATGCACCCTATTTTAAGATTTCCTTTTTTTTTAGACCAAGGTTTTCAAACCTATCTTTTAACCTCCTAAACCAATTTTTTCATTTTTACGCATCTTTTTTGTCCAAACAAATTAGAAAAAACCTTCTTTCTAAACCCTCTCTCTCTCTACGTGTTTCTCTTTCTAAACCCCCTCTTTGGCTCCACGGGCTTCTCTTTCTGTCAACCCCCATGAATCGCCAAACCCCTCTTTCTCTCCCCTACTTCTCTCTTTCTCTCTCCCTGTGAATCTCCAAACCTCTCTTCCCGACTTCCCCCAACTCTCGGGGACCAAGGCTTTTTCCTCTCAGCTCATTGCAACATGGACCAGCAAGCTCATTCCACCGTGTCGGCCTTCTTCGGGATACAAGAGAACGGCTATGTCTTCACTGTAGTACTGTAGTGAGAGTAAGAGAGAGATGGTATTTTGCTTTTTGTTAGATACGAAAGAGATGGTATTTTTCATTTTGGTAGAAGGAGAATGGGATATTCATTTTCTAGAGAAAGAGTAGGTGATTGTGATGTTCTTTTGAAAAAAGAGAGAAATTATATGTTGCTTTTGTCGAGAGATACATGGCTTTTTCATGGAGAGGGAGTTTTTATGAGTTTTTTGTTTTAGAGAGAGAAAAGGATTTTTTTGTCAAAAGAGCAATCAGACTTTGGTTTTAGAGAGGGTTTAAAGAGAGAGAGAGGAGGGATTGTGGGTAAAAAAGAGAAATCGACATAGAGAAAGGGATTATGGGTCAAAAAGAGTAGTAGATACTTCATCCCAAGTGGGATGGCGTTGGAGGTGGTCGGGCTCCTCGTTCCAAGTGGGGTGGTGGTGGAGGTTGTAGGGTTCCTCAATCGGTAGAAGCTTGACACCGTCAGTGTTTTTGTAAAATGAGCGTTGAAACATAAACATCTTTCTATTTCTTCTTCCCATATTTATTGTTTTTCTTTTTCCCTCTTTTATTGCTATTACACTCCTTTACTGCTATTACACTCCTCGTTTTCTTCTTCTCTCTAACTCTCCACTCTGCTCCTCGTTCTTCCGATAGAGACAGGCTGGTTGCCTGCAAAGAGCAGTTGAGATAAAGGTCTCTATCTCTCTATGCAAAAACTTTTATTTTCAAAGAGAGAAAGGGAATTGGGTAAGCACATGAGAGAGAGGAAGAGATATAGAGATAGGCCTTTTGGGTAAGCACGGGGAGAGGGACCCGGGCATAGATAAATAAAAGAAGTTGGAGAAGTAGAGATTTAAAGAGAGGATTGGGTTAAAAAAAAATGAATTAAAAATAAATAAATTTGTTTAGAGGTTAAAAGATATAATAAATAAAATTTTTATGTTTTAAGATAGATTTTGAAACTTTATATCTATGGAAAAATATAATCTATATAGAGATATTCTCCTTTTATTTCATTTTTTACTGTACACCTACTCACTCAATTGGACGAACCAGAGCAAGTTGGCCCAATCGCAATGGGGCGATCCACCCCACAAAACCACTCGCTCTCGGCCCTATTAAAAGTCAATCTTCTAGCGCGCTTGAACGTCCCCAGAGTTGGTCTCATGAAACACGAAATCTCTTGTAGCGTAGTTACGTGGTCCCGCTTGACGAGATTGCTCATTCAGTGGTCCCCCGGTGAAACATGCGACTTGTTTGTAAGCCGATAAGAACAAATTAAAAAATCGGAAATGACACGGTTTCATGCGACACAAACCTCCAGTCAATAACGTTTGGCATAACTTTAGAGTTTTCAATGGGCCAGCCCAGCCTAAACCTCAAGAGTTGGCTCGGGTAGGGACGGCAATGGGCCGGGTGGGCTGGCCTGGTTTGATCGCCCTGAAAAAATTAAGGCATGGGCCACAAGGGCTGAACCAATGCTGAGCTAGCATGAGCTGCGCCAAGCAAGGCCTGGGCCATAGCCGGTTTGGTTTAGCCTAGCACAACCCTCTTTTTTTTATTTTTTTATTTTATTTGGCCCGGCCAAGCCTCGATAGGGTAGGGGACTGGGTTTTGGTGAGAGATTTATTTAGCCCGATAGGGACAACCCATACTGGACATGGGCTATCCCTATAGGGGTTAGGTCTATAGCTGGGCCAACCCCTTGATAACCTTAGGCTCGGGCATAACTTGGTTCACCTTGCCCAGCCCGACCTGAACTGGCATGGGCTGTCCCTATGGGGATTAGGTCTAGAACTTGTCTAACCCCTTGATAACCTTAGGCTCGGGCATAACTTGGTTCAACCCAACCCAGCCTGACCTGAACTGCCCCCTCTTTTGATTGTATTTGACTCTGCCCTAGGCTAGGGCCTCATCGGCCTAGTTTAGGGAGGGCCAAGCTCAAACCAACCCTATCAAGTCTACGGCCAGGGTAGCTTGGACTAGGCCCTAGCCAAGCCCATTGCCAACCCGTGGCCATGAGTGCATACCCTCGCATACCAAACACTTCTTATTACAAAATTAAGGCCAAGCAGTGCCATCAAGTCCCTATGGGCACCAGGGGGATTTTGAAACTAATCAGATTTTTTTTTTGCAAACTCACCATCAGAAATATCTTCATAGATGTGGATAAATATCTTCAAAAACGTGCATCATACATTAAAATGGGTGCGGTTTGTATAGAGCCTAGGCTCTAAACGTTCAAATTAGAGCCTACCTTCAAATAGTATTGAGGAATGTAGTTTCAATGTTGAAAATATTTGTGATAGCTTTAAAATATATTTTTATCTTTATTTATAAAGTTTAAAGTTTCAAAAATAGTATAGATCAATTAATATATGAAAACTTTAAAATTTGGAAAATTCACGGTCCAAAAAATGCATTACAAAATACACTATTCCTAAAATTGGAAATCTTTTTTTTTTATGTCCGTGCACCTTGATGTCGAAATGATCAATTTGATGATCAAAACAACCTCTTCGAGTGGAAATATTTTTTGGTAAGCTCAAATTTGATCTTTTAGAACCTCGGCTCTATATAAACTTTACTTCAGAGGCGAGGCTCACAAAGAGCGCGTAGAATTCTCACTGGATTTCCCCCTCTCTCTCTCTCTCTCTCTCTCTCACGCGCGCGCAGCAA